TCCTTTTTGCACATGATCTGTATGTTCGGATTGCAATCACTGATGCACTGTGCTTTCAGAGTACTTTGAAATAAAGAAACATAATTTCTAGTGATTGTTATGTTGTAGGCAGTAATGTTATATCCATTCATGCAAGTATAGCCCATTGAACACAATGGATTTATTTCAATGCAATTTATAGGACAGTTTGGTTTGTTGATACCTATGAGGTTAAAATCATATTTTGCAAAAGGATTGCAGCTACAGAGATAATTACTAACTAATATTTATTGCACTTGTCTATGTAAATTTATCTCTAGCAAGCAAACAGTACAGGGCCTAAAAAGACATTTAATTTCAAAAGCAATCTGCATGAAATAATTAATCCCAGCTCTGAACATATCAAATTCCTTCTGTCTATGCCAGTAGGCTCTGCATATAACAAATTGTGTGATATTATTTTTTCTTGCATAACTGCATAGTTAGTGTTGTGGCAGTTGGAATGGAGTCAGTGTCGTCTCTCTTATTTTATAAATCAGCATGCTGAAAAATTCAAAGTTGCCTTTAGATTTAGAATTCAGGGCCACTCAAAGCTGATGTCTAATTTCATTTAATCTTATAGATGCCTGGGGAAAAGGAAAGTAACAACCATAGTACAATGAGATCAATTGATTTAAGGAAAATGGGACATTCTATGATGACATGACCTTTACAAAACCCTGAATTATCATGCCTGGTGGATATAATTAACTTTTTAAATATCTGCAAAAAAGTCATGAGCAGGCTATTTTTTAAAGTGATTTATGAACACCAACGTTGAATCCTTATAAGAATTTTTGGAACACCTCTCCCAACATTTGATTTTGTTTCATTAAAGCTCAAACTATGGATACACAATGTAGTTTATCCACTTGTATTGCCCTGAGGATGCCTACATTGCCTTATGCGGACATAGAACAGAAATTGAAGTTAATTGAATAATATTCAATAACATTCTTCTGAAACATTGCAATTGGAAGACTGTAAGCTACCCAGAGTAAGATGAGCAGCCAATAAATTTGATAAACAAGCAAACATCTTGCTCCCTCAAGATCAGATCCATAACCACCTTTTTGTCTTTCAAAAGTCCTTCAAGACATGGCTATGCTAACTAACCTGGTGCCCCAATGGCTGATGGAATAGAAAACACCACACTTCCTCTCTGTGTTCACATTGCTTCCTCCCTCTCTACCCTGCTTAGTTTTAATTGAATTTTTAAATTTAAGATCATTATTTATTGTTTTGATATTTTATACTGCATTTGATTCAGTATCTGTAAGCTGCCTAGAGTTGCCTTTGGCAAGATGGGTGGCATACAAGTTTGGTAAATGAATAAATTCTGTTAAAGAATGACTTGTTCATTCTCCATTAAATGTTTATATAATTCCAGATACTGAATGATTTTTCCTGTATCATATTCTTCCACTTACATATTTTTCTGTATTAATGGTAAATTTTGTCTGTGACAATATTTTGTCATGTGGACTTTGCATGCTGCTCTTTCAAGTCAAGATTGACTCATGGAAATTATCTCTATGTTACTTTGAATGTAAATCAATTACTTGATTAAAAGTACACTTGTCCACTTTATCCATCTATCCTAAATGTTTCCACCTTTCAGTTCAGTTTATTCTTTTTTTTTTTAGACATGCAACATATCTAAAGAAAATGGGGAGATCTTGGTATTTGCTGAGCTTGGTATAATCATATGCATGTTTACTCAGAAATATGTCACGGTATATTTTATGGAGCTTCCTCCCGTGTAGCGTGCATATAACTGCAGCACTAAGTACTTTTAAATAAATGGTGTCTTAAAAATCTACTGCTTAGCATGAACTGAGAAATAATATAGAAATTACTATCTTTAGCAGTGATTAGTACCAGAGAATAGGGGTTTTAGTGCATATACTGCATGTCTTTAAACAAATTAAAATTATCATTTCTAGTCCTGTCATCTGTTATTTAAGCATAACTTGTCTCATTTTAATTCTTAGAAAGATAAATGTAAAGGAGTCAAAATAAATGAGATCCTGAATAAGTATTTAGTTTACATAATGTATGTTTTCTGAGTCGGAGTGTTGTGCTTGGATCAGCAGAATAATCAAGATGATGTTTTTCTTTCTGTTATTAAATTTGTAGTCAACTCCCTCCAGAAGATTCACAGCAAATTACCACATATTATTGGGGGGGGGAGTACAAATGACAAGCAATATCAAAGAGCATGTATTATCTGGAATAGCTATTCCATTGAAACATGAGGTTGGATGAATTGTTCTTATTAAGATATGGTTCACAGATGACTTTAAAAAGAGGATTAGGTAATATCATAAAAGTTCTATGGCCCAATTGCCATATTTAAAGTTCTAGTAATTTTCATTAATCCAAAACTTGCTTATCTGTTTTCCAAGGGCCTTATATTCTTTAAGTATTCATCAATTTTAATGATGGCAGAATTTTGTTTGATTCTTTGAAACGTAATTTCAGGCATGGAAGGGAATGAATAAATCTGTCTGTTTTGTTCTCTATTTTATTTAATATTTTAAACATTTCAAATTCTTTGGATACAAAAACACTTCTATGTGTCAGAAACAATAAATTATGTCAGACATGTTACCTCTGGGCATAAGACCTGTTCAGTAGTGGCATCCTGGTTATTTCAGAGATTAATGGACCCTGGACAAAAGTAGGCCTTCTTTAGTTAAGGGGTGAATTTCCAGTCAGATTTCTTTTCCCCTACATCAGTGTTTTTCAAACTTATAGTAACAACTTTAAGATGCTTGAATTAGTTCTGGGAGTTAAAGTCCACACATCTTAAAGTTGTCAAGTTTGAAAAACATAGCCCTGTATGCTTATTTAAAAAATCTACTGAAAAATATTGAAAGATTTTTTTTTCTGAAACCAGAGAGTTGGACACGCTCTTTTAAACATATGGCAATGGGTCTTCTATCTTTAAAAAAAATCTGCATGGTTAGCTTTTTACAGATCAAATACAGGCCATTGGGCATTTCTTGAGAGCAAAACCTCACAGTGTTTACCAATATCCAGACCACTAGAAAGGCAACCTCCATCCATTTTTTTCTGCCAGGCATCAAAAGTACTTACTGTAACATTTGGGCCAGCTCAGGCAATGTTATTTTGTTCTATACTGTACCATTTCATTGTAGTTGAATGCCTTCATTCCAATTGGCTTTTGTTCAGTGGCAGGGACACCAACTTCTGCCTCCAGTCACTGCCATTACAAGATCTTTTCAAATTCACTAAGATACAGTGAACTTGAAATAAAGGAATAAGGAACAGGGATCTGCCTTTTTATGTGAAAATGACAGAAGTTTTGTCATTTTACCTTTACAGCCAAAATGGTAAAATTGACCAGTATGTTATGCCATACTGCTACAATGTTATGCCATACTGCTACATTTTCAGAAGTTGGAAGAAGATGGCCACTTTCTACATTAAAATAAATAATCAAATCTTTTGTTTCTACCAAATATTATTTATGGGGGGGGGAAAGACTTTACATCTGCTGGCAGTGCCCTAGTTATGCACCTCAAATGAAGGACTAAATTTGCTCACAGGAGAATCCATAGTAGAATGGTGGTGACAATACAGAATTAAACCTACTTTCTGAAGAAAAATCCACCATAACCCTTCATACTATGAGAATGAACATATAGCAGGAGGGGAGATGCTAGAATACCTTTTTAAAATTTATTTTATATATCATTTCCTATAATTTTCCTATTCTTTATTGTTGTTATTAAAAACCACTAGGATATGAGGTATGTGCCTGAAAAATGACTAGATAAAATTGTTGTTTCAGCCATAGGTTATGGGGACAGATGCAGATATCTTATTTACACTTATACAAAATCTCTTTCCAATTGTTTATCTTGCAACATATAATATTTGTCTTCTGGTATGAATTCTCTTTTGTGTTGAGCTAAGGGAGTGTTTCTTAAAACTTGACTACTTTTCCCTTCTGGGAGCCGAAGTCCACATATCTTGGAAGTTGCCACGTTTGATAAATAGTGAGCTAATGACAAAAGTTGACTCCTAACAACTTTGATGGTGCCCATGTAGTTTTCTTGGCAAGTCTAGAAGGAGTTTGCCATTACCTTCTTCCAAAATATATATTTTTTTTCCCTGAGTTCCTAGTGTAGTCTACCAGCTCTGGGATTTCCTGGCCTTCAATCCAAGAAGTATTTCAGGACCCTGCTTAGCTTTCAGCCAAAGTTAGTGACTTGAACCAATCTTTAAAAAAACAAAAATAGGAATAGATAACTTTGAAAGTGCAACCAATGCAGACTACTTAATAGGAGCTAAATCGGGCCAGGCATTGGAAAAATTGCCGCTTCAGTGACAGAGCCATTTCTTTATGAGCAAAAGTTCCAATCTTTGATTCCAGTGTTTCCAAGTGCAGAGTACCACTTAATCCAGCTAGCTCAGTATTGTGCATGCTAATAGTCTGATTTGGCTGGATTCTGATGTCATGCTAAGCCTGAACTTTCAACTGCCTGAATTCATCAACCATGCCATAAACAAAGGCACAATGGCAGAGGGCAAAAAACAGGTTGATCCAAAGTATGTCAACTCCCTTAGTAGCTGCTGCTGCACGGATAAAGGAAGCGCTGCTCTTTTCCAACCTCTTCAAACAATGTAAACTCAAGGTATTTCTCTTGGCGAGTAACCAGGAATTAGCAGGTGGATACAAAAGTTAGGAAGAGGGAGTGAGACCTCAAAAGCAAGAGGCAAGGATGGAGATAGCGAAGGGCGACTTGACTGAGCTTCCAGCTGGGCCTTCAGGCAGATAATTCTTCCCGTCCTAAAACTCCCCCTCCCCAAACACACGCACAGAGAGAGGGGGGGGCTGAGGAAGAGAAAAACACGCTGCCTCTTCCACAACCCCACAAGCCAAAGCGGCGCTTTGCAACAGATGGTTCCAGGCATCCCTCCGTCCCTCCCCTCGGCGCGGTCCTGCCTTGCTCGCCGGCTGTTCCGTCGGGAGCCCCTCGCGAGGCGCACCGAGGGAGGGCGGGACCCAGGCCAAGCAGCGGCTGTGTGGTCTTGCAGGGCGCGCGCGCCGCTTTTCCATTCCAGTGCACGGCTGGCTGGCGGACCTGCCGCGGCCGCCGCTTCGGGGTCGCAGCTCGCTCGCTACTGCCAGGGCGAGCGCCCGCTCCGCCTCAGTCTCCTCCTGGGGTCCGGTGAATTCGGCGAGCCGAGAGCGGTGCCGCCTCGGCCCTTGTGTGCGCGCGCGCGCGCTGGAAAGAAGCGCGCTTGACTACAGCCGAAAGGGCTGCCTGCGGTAAGTTCCCTGGCTGGGGCGAGAGGGGAAACCACCCCCGTTTCTCTCCCACCCGCCTCCCTCCAGTTGCAGCGTTGGAATTTTGACCTTGTTCCTGCATCTGAGGCACCCGCGGCAGGAGAGAGTCGTTGAGAGTGCCGCCTTTAGAAGTGCGGGGATGGGAAAAGGTGGATCTCGCTGCTGCTGCTGTTGCTGCTGCTGCTTGGCCGACCCCGGCGGCGCTGTGTTTGTTTTCCATTGGGGGGCTTCGAGCGAGAAGCCTGCCCTTTAACTTTGCGTGCGGTCTTGTGGGTATCTTTTCTCCAGAAGTCCCGCAAGATCCTCTTGCTTTCATGGGAATAAGGGATGGAAGAGTAGGCTGAATCTGTCTCCAGTGACTTTCAGTTGACGCTTGGAACAGTTTTCAGGGTAGTTTGAACCCTGGGAAGACCAGATAATGTATGAAGCAGGAGGTGTGTGTGTGGGGGAGAACGCCTGAGTATGTGCAGAATAATTAGTGCTTCTTTAATGTTGAAGCTTCAGTCCCGGTTAAAACTTGAGCAGCTGCATGAAACCTGCTTTGGGTAGATTCACTGAAACCTTTTGACTAAGAGAAGATGATGCTTTCCGTACCGTTTGCAAAAGCCAACTGAACTGACAGTTGATGGGCTGCTGAGCTCCACTATATCTGACAACAAGGTAGTACAAGGCAGATCACGTGACACAACAGCTCTGCCTCTTAAACACCATGCTTCTTCAGGCTCCTTATTTTAGACAACGATAGACCTGACCCATTCCCACTTCCTTTGTTTTGAGAGAATTGGAATGTCATTCTTTGGTGTGAGCTTGCATGTGGACTGCATGCTTCAGTGTAGTAACAGGTGTGGATAATCAATCACATCCCAGCTGACATTAGTTACTGAATGTTTGACTGGAGTAAATTGAGTGAGAGAGGAGTGACATTTACAAGAAACTGATTAATTTTGATCCAAGAATCTGATTTCATAATCCCCCAAGTTTCCTTAATGGATCTGTCCATATAATATGGCCTTTTCAACCTGCAGTGTTTAAGGATTCTTTCATAGATCTACTTGAAAGCAACTACTGCTAATGATAAACTTAGAGTTGCCATGTTATTTCATTATGTCGTGCACTTGGGCTAAATGCAAGTTCCCCCACTCGGTGCCTTCCAGATGCATTGTCCTCAAATCTCCTAATTCCTAGTCAGTGTGGCCAACGGAGATAAATTTAAAAACACCCAATTGGCCCCTTAATTGGAACAGATAAAAAGTTCTTGCTGCCTTGGTCTGTGCACTTGTTATAATCATGTTGCTTCCAAAGAATTCATCTAAGTGATTCATTCAGCCAGTTCTAATATTCATGTTGGTTTGCATGTGATATCATTGGGTGTCTGGTTGCCTACTTTATTAAGATTAATGATGCAGAAAGAAGCCATACAAATAAAATGCTGAAGAAAGAAGTTTTCCTCATTACCACTTAAAAGATATTTCTCTTGATTCATTTCAGTTAACAATTATTGCTTGTAAGCAAAAACACAAATAATGGTTATAATGTTTTATTATACTGTATAGAGTGTTGTATAAGGAAGGATTAATAGAACTATTGTGATATTGATAAGTAAAAGTAAGAAAGAAAATCATAGAACCAAAAACTGTACAAAGATCTTGGTTTCACTCTGACAATATAAATCCTGTCGAAGTAACAATATCTATCTATTTAGATCTCTTGAAAATTTTATAAAAATATGTTTGTGAACATGCAGATATGCTCAGATAATTGTTTGCAATGCAATCAGTGCGAGAAAATGAGAATTAAAGTGTACTTCAGGATTCATGCCATATAGTTAGTATTTTTAAAATATAGCATTCAATCAGTACAAGAAACTGAAAGCTTTTGAAGGGATGCAAACTCCCAAAGATATACTCTGCAGGCAGTTCTTGTACTGCTTGCTTCGTTTGATGAAATACCAAGAGCAAAGAACTATGAATTATACTGGCATTGGGTCACTTCTGCACTTTTTGCAGCTTTTAGAATTAGCTGTTTAATAATGGATATGCCACTATACGATCTATGTATAATCTTGAGGATAAGAATTAGAACCTTAATTTTAATGCTTTTGATAATTTGTAAGGAAAGTAAACTTGGGCTTTGAAACAAAATACAATAGGTTAGATCTCAGTCACAATTCAGATGAATATTACATTTCAAAATAATCATAATTGTTATTATAAATGGTCAAGGATGTTAGCAAACTTAACCCAAGGATGTGTATAAATGTACTTATCCTTCCACACTGTGAAGCCCTTTAGATATTTTGAGCTATAAATCTCAACATCGTTTGCATTTTGACAATGCTGGAGGTGCTTATGGGAACTGTAGTTCAAAACATTCTAATGGAACTATGGTAGGACTGTATTCTATAGTGAAATAATATAAAATAGATGCAACATATAAAAGCAGTGTATAAATAAGCCTATGAAATAGGTACAAATAATTCAATATTGGGATATTGAATGCATTGTGAATGTTGTCATAACATAGGAACCATGCTGGGCATACCTGATCATAAATTTCACTTAAGCAGACAGCAAGGTGAAGTTGCTTCTTACCTTGCAGAAGTTTGTTTATTTGATATTTATTCAATTAATATTCCACTTTTCAGTACAAATTAACATTAAAGATAATTGTTTTTTTTAAAGAACCACAATACAGATTATCAAACATATAAAATGAATAATTCCAATTGCTTTTAAGAATGTTGTGTAGATATATATTACAGGATATTTTAAATATTAAAAGAGTAGTATTGCAGACACCTGAAAATCAGAACTTTTGCCCTGAATACATCTTCAAAAACACTTTTTATGCAGATCTTAATAGCCATAAAGGTAATTCCCTTAGATGGTTAGATATTAAGCTTTAAGTCTTAAATATGCAGGTAGTAGTAGAATACTTATAAGCAATTAGCAATCAATGCTGAATTTCATTATAATGTAATTCCAGTACAGCACACCTATTAATAGTGCGGGTGTAGTTTATACTAGGTGCAATTTTAAGACACGAAAATGACCTCTAGAGCATGTTGCAATAGTATAATAGATGTTCATGGCAATGATTGTACTATTTCTACCTGGCACAGCTCTTTTAAGTACCAACTCCAAGAAATGGAGACAATTTAGATCTAGGACTGCAGAATCAAATCCATAGTCCTTGTGGAAACACTATATTCCTTGGATGTTAGGAGTTTTATGTCATTTCTTTTACATGTACAATAAAGCACAGGCAAATTGGCAAGCAAGATGAATTGCGAATCCTAACCAGCAGGTGGTTTCCTCTTTCTCAGCTCACTGACATCTGCAGGTAATGCCATGCTCCAGAATAGTTCTTCTTTGTATAGTTCTTGGGATTAAGCTCCAGTAAATAGGGATGTGTGAAATTTTAATTGGGTGGGTGAAGATTATGTGTACTAGAGTTCTAGCCTTAACTCAAGAAGAAATACTACATTTTGTTCCATATCGTTTTGAATCTTCCAGTATCTAAGAACTGCTTTTTTGAAAAAGAATCCCTATAAGCCATCTGAATGGCTTTTCTTGTTGCAAGACTTGATTCTGTTTACTTTCCTCACTGTTTTTAATAGAATGAAAGGGGCAAACAGATGCAATAAAGTGTTGCAGTGGCAAAAACTTTATGTATCTACATTATCCAAAGTGTAGTCTAGATCTTTGATATGAATCTTGATAGTATATTGATAGCCATCCTTGCTGTAGAACTGGTTCCAGATGTAACCCACCTTAGACATTGTTTTATGGTTTTCACTTGAGGGTAAAACAATATTAGCATATCCTATATATTTCATATTCAGTTTCTGATTTAGTATAGATAATCCTCAATTTATGAGCCCAAAATTTCTGTTGCTAAGTGAAGCACTTGTTATGTGAATTTTACCTCATTTTATGACTTTTCTTGCCACAGTAGGAGATTATAAGTATTGTAGTTTTTATAATGTAATATGTTTACTTTATAACTCTAGTTATCCAGTCTCCTAACTTTTTCAAAGTTTGAAATATGTATGCCTGGTAAAATTAAACTACGACTGAGATTGTAAATACCCTAGCAAAATGGTAAAGACAAATTTGATTCATGGAGACTTCATGAACCTATTGTCAGCAATACAGAGGTAGTTTGCCACAATTCTAGGATATTTACCAGTCTAACCTACAATCTGGAATTTCTTGGAAACCTAGTTATTTAGCAAGAATTAACTCTTCTTAGCTTCTGAAAAGATCAACACATGCTGCCATTCACTGAGATACTAACTTCCTCAGATGCCTACACTCTAGTGGTAGTCCAGCTTTCTGAGCTGCAGTGGTGACCTGATAGAAGTAAAGTCTTCATCCTGGTTCATCCAAGCCGGGAATAAATAAGCAAACATGGCGACTGCTTTGGGAAGAAGGTTACAGTTTATTGCAGAAAGATGGTTCTTCAGGAAAGTGCAGAGGAGAGAGAAGGGAGAGCTGAGCACATGGGGCAGTAGGCTTTTATACCCCCTCTAGCCTTGTTTGGAATAGTTTCCTGTTCCTGTGGCATGAACCTTGAGGCTGTTTCTGAGTGTTTGTCTAGGCCTTGATATCTGTGGTTTTAATTCTATTATCATATCCTGCTTCCCAGTGATGGGGCTGACTCCTAGAGTTTGAGTGGGGTATGCAGATCTTCTCTTTTGTCTTCTTGATTGCTCTGGCTTCAACTTTCTGATGGTTTTACATCTGCATTTGTATAGGGCTAAAGTCTTGCTTGGGGCAGAGAGATAGATTTGGGGCCAGGTTTGGTTTTAAAAAGTCCTTTTGAGGAAAAATATATTTTTCTGCCCTTTTTAATATTTCTTCTCTGGGCTAACTTCCATCAGACCCAAAGGAAAGTCTTCTCTATGTTGCCACATCTTGCAGACTGATTGCCAGTACTAATCGGTTCAATCCCCAAATTTTTGTACTGTATTAGCCCTT